TCTAAGGTTTATTTGGTGTTTGGATCACATTTGGATATATTGGGTCCAATAATAGATTAATTTAAATTAGCTTGTTAAGCACACTGTCCACCTAGAGAAGTGATAACTTCTGGGGACCAATGATTGGAAGAAAAGAATCAAGTTATTTCTACAGAGTTGTTGATACCGGTAAATATTCTTCACCTGATACAGGACAGGCTCCCCAGTTTCCTAATAGTTACAAGTCTGGTTTTTTGCTAAAAAAATTATACCCATTCAACTTTTCTGCCCAACTGACGCCATATTTATTTTATCAAAATGGCATCATTCAGATCAGTTACACTCTCGAACAAAACCTACCTAGAATGGATTGACATGATTCAAGGTCATGCCACAGATAGTGGCATTTGTAGATTTGTTGATCCATCAACTGCTATTGTGATTGAAGAACCTCATAAGCCAAATTTCTCTGACTATAAATCAACTGCCGCGAGGCTCGCAGATTAAGATGATGATAAGAGATACATGTTTAAAGAAGATAATGCTCAATACAGAGTTGATATAAAAATGTACAAACTAGATTGTTGTACCATGGGTGAACTCAGGATCAAGATAGTTGATTCACTACATCCTAACCACAGGAAGTTAATCTTTGGCTCTATGACATGTTGAGATATTCTAACCCAAATAAGTAATAGAATTGAGCCAACAGCAGACATTCAACAACTGAAATTAGTCGAATCTTACACCAAGGTTTGAACGCCACCCATAAATGCAAACATTGATAATTGGTTAATGGAATGAGAAAGGTTGGACATAATGTTCAAAAGATTAAAAATTGCTGATTTCAGTGATTATAAGTGGATTCAGGATTTTCTTTCGGCTTTGAACTCACTCTCAGCAATGTGGGTAACAAATAAACGGATGGAAATCATAAAGATACCAGATAAATCGAAGCTCAAGCTTCTAAATGTGCTGCTAGAATTTCGACAGTTTTGGTCTCTGACCAATTTTGAGTCAAAAAGTAGCATAACTGCATTTCCAGCAACTTTACAAAACATGCAGCAGCCCTCCTATTCTCCCTAGATAAACACCCAGAATAAACAAATCGAGCAGAGAGCCCAAGATGAGACAAATGAAACAAGACCATGTCTTTGTAGAATCAACCACCTGGGTGAAAAGTGTCTTTATCTCGCTGAAGAAAAGGCTCCCATGGGATTCAAAATGGACATGAAGGTAATGAAAAAATTTCAAACATATGTCATTGTCCTCCATTCAGGACTTTTATCAAAAAAACAAGCTGGACTTCAAACTGGCTAAAAGAATTTGAAAGAAAAATGGCCAACAGATAATTCTAAGCAAGGAAATAGCAAAAATTTCGACCAACAAAAATCGCGGAATATACATCACCTCAATTGCAACTAACACTATTCATCCTCTACGTAATGAAATACTTCTAGATAATGGAGCAGATGGGTATGTGTGTAATAATCTTGGACTAGCCACTTTGGCTCTGATGCCACCATCAAGTGCAACACATGTCCAATTAGGTGCAGGTTCTATTCCTATTCTAGGATATGTTAACATGCTTTTTAATGCTAATCTAGGCAATAGAAGAATATATGAGATGACTTTTACCAACGTTACTTTTGCACCTCAATTTCTAACATCAGTTGTTTCCTGGAAGATGATCAAAAATAAAGGTGTGAAGTGGAACTCAGACAGAAATAAAATGATCTTTAATGGAAAGTTTATTTGCCAACTACTAGATTGTCACAACCATGATGTATTCACTGCAGTACTGCTGCCAGTAGATATTTGTTTAAGTAAAGCAAGTCAAGTTGCTTTGAAATATATTGAAGGCAATGATAGACAGCTAGAAAATAACAAACAGCTAATTTCAGCAAAGTCTTCTTCAAATTCTCAAAAGCACGCAAAAATTTTTGCCAATTCTTTTCATGCAAGGAAATCTGCTGCTTCCGAAAAGTCATGGCATCAAAGATTGGGGCATTCATGACCACAAGTATTAACTCACATTGATAGCAATACTGTGAAAGTTGATTGTAAGGGCCCTAAAACTCTCAAATGCAAAGATTGTGCGCTTAATAAGGCAAAAAAGGGCATATCAAGGTGTCCAACAGATCGTGCTCAACATACTTTTGAAGGCATTCATTTTGATCTTGTTATGTATTTGCCAACTGGATTTGACGGATCCAAGTATATGCTTCATTTTACTGATGATCTTACTAGAATGAATTTTGTATATCTTTTGACTAATAAATCTGCACCTAACTTTCTGCGTCACTTCAAAAACCTTGTTGCCTATACCAAACAACAGTTCAACAGTGATATCAAAAAGTTTCGATGCAATCAAGAGAATGGTCTTGGCAATTCCTTTAACAACTGGATAAATGAACTTGGCATGGAAGTTGAATGGTCTATAATTGGCACTAGTGATCAGAACGGCCAGCCTGAACGTTCTGGGGGACTGATACAGAGTAAAGCTAGATGCTTGGGTAATGGTTCCAACCTTCCAACTGAGTATTGGCCTGAATACATAATGACTGCTGCGTATTAAAAAACCGAACACCAACAGCTTCTCCTCAATGGTTATTGCCCCTATCAAAATTACGTCAGACCCTTGGTATCTCTGATTGTGATGAAAATAGCCATCTCAAGGCGTTTGGCTGTAAAGCTTATGCTCTAGATAGATCTATAACAAAAGGTCAGAAGATGAGACCTAGAGCAAAGACAGGATTCCTCATTGGATATAATTCTTGCAATATATACTGAATTTTACTGCAAGATGAAGAAATAGTAATTGGAACTAGACATGTAACATTTGATGAGACTTTCTTTTTGAAGGACATATAGAAGCTCAAAATTGTTGTGAGGTTGTGGATCATAGAGGAATGCTGAAATGTTTTAGGGAGGTGAAGGATATATGCCGAACAACAAAGCAGTTAAATAGAGCTTAAGGGTGAAGCTTAGTAAGGTGACACGAAGAGGGTAGGAATAGACCTTCAGAGATATTCAGTAAATGTAATGAACTGAGGATTTCTGAAGGAGAAGAACACTACATATATATATACAGGAATTAGTCCTGAGCCGAATTTAGAAATAAGCCAGGATATGTGCCCATGTCCCAGTATGGCGATATTATCATGGTAAAGGTATGTCTTGACCACCAGTAGACCCCCAAGCTAGCTGAGTGTAAGATAGAATCACGCATATACCATAATTTCCAACATATCTTGTTTTAAGCGCCAAGACTAATTAATATTACAGAAAATAGATGCGGCGCAGTATTAAATGATACAACTAACAGAAACGAAAACGAGATAGTGCATGACTAGTGTAACAGATGCAGGACTGTTGGAATAATAACAAGTCTTGCCTATAGAGCCCTTGCGTCCTTGCGCAGACTAGGATCACAACATCTATATTGTCAAATTGGAGCGTAGACGTTTGACCTGAAGCGGAATAGAAGGGCGAGAAGAGGTCGGACGGATTGCGAGAGATGACTAAAGATCTACTGAAGATAATTTGGAGAACTAAAGGTTTAAAAATTGGTAATATAAGTGTCTAAAGAGTCTAAAGGTACGAGCAAATACTAGTGGTGACTAAAGGTGCTAAAGGTAACTAGAGGTGACTATAGGTGACCAGAGGTGATCCGAAGGTTGTGGTTGTGACAGAAGACTAAGCGTGAAGAACTCTATAGCTACAGGCCAAGCCATCATACATATACTTGCTTTCCTCCCACTGGCTCATCATAACATAGGCCCTAAACTAGTGCCAAAATAATAACCAGTGCCAAGATGTTATATTAACTAGGCTATATGGGAGCAGGACGATGGATACTCTTGGGGAAGATATGCTCACAGTAGGTCTCTATAGTCGCTGTCGCGTGTGTTCTCGTGATATGTAAGACTTGACTCTATATTCTCGTATAAAGGAAACTTAGTTACAAATGAATGGACGGAGGTTGAGACCTCCTTATATCTTGCTCCAGACTTACTGTGTTGTTCACAGCCTAGTGCTAGAACATTCCCTTATGATATCATTTCTCTCCTACGAGAAATGATCAGCTCGTTCTCTCTCAGTCTATCAGTCTCCCGCTGATTCCATTATCTCTATTCCATCGAGTTCTAGTTTGGTCCAGTATACCCACACATGCATTACACACTAAACACCCCACAGTTTAGTTCCACAGTCACGTGCATATGCTATGACGCGACCTAAAGCATGTACCATGGTAAGTTACATGGATAACACAACACAAGAACTGTTCTGTTGTCATAGCAACACCAGGAGAAGGGTAAAATTATAAACTAAAGTTAGGATGGGAAGGAGAATCCTTACATATATACATACAGATATATAAGCCAGGAATATAAAGTTAAATATATATGTGTATTGGTAATAGATTCGAGAAACCTATAGCCTGTCATTTAGACACAGTTTTCTGCTGTAATTCTGGTGTGAGATAAATGCTAATTTGCATTAAACTTTAAGCACAGGATGTATTGATGACAATATAGGACGGGGAATTTGATAGTCTAATTAGCCAAACTTACAAACTCGTTATTTTTGGCATTCTAAGATATATTATATTCTACCAATGAATTGATCACCCCTCAGTCAATAAGGTTGTAGAGCACATTGATTCTAGTAAATACCGAGGTGAAACTAAGTACAGAATTTGTAGTCATGTGTGCATTCACAACATGTTCTACTTTAAAGCCCCAATTCTTCTAGCTTCCAATATATAGCAACAAGATTTATCTTATATCAAAGTTTCCATTGATTACCAAGGTTCTCTACCTACAATATTACAATCAACAATTGACCAATACTTATGTTTGCAAAATCTTTTTTATCTAAATATGATAATTTTTATTTGCTATCATAAAGCTATAATATCTTCAACTGGTGCAAAATTCAAAATCCATCCCAACTTCTTTTCTTTGGTATTTGCACTAGAGCTTGAACAGCATGAGACCTGTTATGGGCTATTGTTATCAATTAACATTGGACGAACAGACCTCCTTGCCATCGCTGTCAACAACAACCCAGTAATTTAGATTTCTGTTACCATCATTGGTGACATAATTTCCATGTCCTATGGGTCAATCAGTTATCATGATGACGTGAGCTAGGATAGACAGTTCACTTACCCTTCTGATTAAATTCATAACCAACTGAAATAGGAATTAGGAATGGGTATCTTAATCTTGTAGCTAGTGATTTTATTGAATTATTTGGCGATTTTAGTTCAATATTTTCTCTTTGTATCCGAGCAATTTCTTTTCTGATCTCATCCATTGGTTTTTCAAAACTAGCAGAATACTGAGATCCGGATCTTGGGACCAGCAGAGCAGCAGAAATTGATGTTGCTTGACTTAGCAGCACAATAATACCGGTGAGATGTAGGAACTTCATAATGTTCTAGCCTAGATTTATTTTAGTACAAGATTTATATTTTATCTGAAAACTCAAACTTAATTTTCTGTGAGCTTGATTTATCTCAAGTCAAGAAGTGGAATGGAGATTAATACAGTGAAATGGAAATTTGAATGAAGCTGATTCTGGAAGCATTAATGTGAAGGAGTCGAGAGGAAGGTGGTTTAAATATGAAAAATCATCATCTAATTTCTATTTGGAATGATATGATTCAAACTAAAACAATGATGATGGCTTGTAGGCTTGATACAGTTTCCACGAGCTAACCTGACTCATGGAAGCTTGGGATCCATAGAAAATGTTGTTATTTATGCGACAGTGGAGTTAAGAGTATACTGCATACCAGCTATATATTCAGCTGCGTGTGGATACTTGCTCTCGAAATCAGATTCCTTATAATATAAATATATATATAATTTATTGTGTGTATTATAACTACAACTATTGGTGCTCCTTTTCTTGTTCTTACAATTATCTACACACTTTACAATTACGAAAAGTGTGGAATTCTAAGCGAGACACGTGATACAATTACAGATTTATTGCATGACTTTCAACATCCCCCTTCAGGTGATACCCATACATAGGCATATTAGATCAATGTAAGCGGGTCACGCACTATAGGTAGTCATATTGAGCATTTTCAGGAATTGCCTGTGCTTGTCGAAGGTCAGCCCTTTCGTCAATCCATCAGCAGTCATCTCTTTGGTGGCAATGTACTCCAATTCAACCTCTTTTCGTTCCAATCGTTCACGAATGTAAAAGTATTTCGTGGCAATGTGCTTGGTCCAGTTATGGAATACAGGATTTTCAGCTTACTTTAGGCTCCCTTGATTATCTCCGTAAATTTTGATCTTTTTGGCATCTTCTCCTTTGTAGCCAAGTTGATTTAGCAACATGCGTAACCAAGAGGCTTCCATGCTTGCTTTACCCAAGGCATAGAATTCTGCTTCGGTAGTGGACTGAGCTACACTTTCAAAGCGTTTGGACGCGGCTGAAATAACGCCTCCGCCAAAGAAAAATACATATCCCCAAGTTGATTTTCGGGTTGAATGGCATCCCGCAAAATCAGAGTCAGCCATACCGTAAAGCTTGCAGCAATCAATTCCCCCGAATTTAATACCAAGGTTTATAGTGCCCTTGAGGTATTGGAGGACACGTTTAGCCGCCCTTAGGTGCTGAGGAGATGGGTTATGGTTAAATCTGGATAGAAGGCCACAGGTCCATAGTATATCCGGTCTGGTCTTACTTGCCAGATACATAACTGATCCTACAATAGACTGATAGAGAGTGATGTCTTTCTTCGGTGCCACCTCATCATATGGAATCATGTTGATCATAGCGCCAGGCTCGAAAGGGGTGGATACTGGGTGACAATCTTCCATTCCAAATCGTTTCAGCAATTTTTTAGTGTAGGCATCTTGACAGAGTATAATCTGATCTTTTTTCCAGTCTCTGACAATCCTAACTCCAAGATAATAGGCTGCTGGACCCATATCTTCTGTCTCGAATAGGCCGAGTAGCCGTTTCTTCATCTTGCCGAATTCAACACCTTGTTTTCCTATCAAGAGTATGTCGTCTACGTAGGTCACAATTATGAACCCTGTGATTTCATGTACATATGTTCCTGGATCGGCTGTTAGTGGCTTAAATCCCAACGTTGAAAGTAGTTTAGCCAGTAATTGTTGCCAAAGCCTAGGGGCTTGCTTTAGGCCATACATTCCACGAAGTAGTTTCCCGACGTGATCACTGTTGGGGATTTTTTCCCAGAAAGGTGGTAGCATTACATAGACCTCTTTATCCATGTCATTATTCAGAAATGCTGTAATGACATCCATTTGATCCATCTCGAGACCATGAAGAGCTGCTAAAGCTACAGCTACTTTCCATGTCTCAGAGCGAGCTACGCCAGCAAACGTTTCCTCATAGTCGACACCATACTTCTGTTCAAATCCTCGAACGCAGCATCTGACCTTGTACTTGAGGACTTTGCCTTCCTTATCACGCTTGGTTTTAAATACCAATTTGACTGACAAAAGTCGTTGACCAGCTGGTATATCCTTCTTTTGAGCTAGTGCCCAAGTTTTCTTTCGTATAAGAGACTCATATTCTTGGCGAATGGCAAGCCGCCACTCGTTAGCGTTCTTACTCGCCAAGGCCTCTTCAATGGTTTCAGGGTTGTCGGATATATCCCTCCCTGCAATGAACGCGGCTGCCGCAGATGGATTGTCATTGGCTAGTTCTGACTTAAATTTAGCCGCACGCGATCGTGTCATTCGAGGTTCAGTAGGCGCCTCGTACACTTTAGTTTTTCTGGACTTGTCTAGACAAATCGTTTTCTCCTCTTGGAAACACTCGTTAGCTTCATGCATTAAATCTAAGTTAGTTGCGTTCGTTGGCATAGGCATTTCAACGGTGTCCTCTGGCTCGCTGACAATTCCTTCATCGGTGTCAACATTATTGGTCACTTCCTTCTGTAGGGAACCAAGGTTTTCATGAATTATTTCTAGAGGGGGTTTGGTCTGAGGTCGACTTGACTCGTCGCTCTGATATAAAGTTTCTCCACAAGTTCCAGACGAGTTCTGCTGAGATGTAGATTCAGAAGAAATTCGAGTATCCCCCTCGATGGAAGTTCCAATCTCCTCTAAGAGTGCATCTGAAATGTAACCGTGCTCATCAAACCGGACATGAGAAGATCTTGTAATCTTCTTCCCGCTTCTCGATGGCACGTAAAGCCGATAGATGCTATTCCCTTCATATCCAACCAATATACCAGCCTCAGCTCTCAGGGCTAGTTTGGCTGCGTGAGGTCTTTTTTCTTTTGGAATTTGAACATATACCTTGCATCCAAGCACTCTAAGATGGGCTATGGATGGTTTATTGTCGTCTGTGGGGTGGATATGATCCATGAACATTTCAAATGGTGTTTTGTCAAACACACGATTTGCTGTTCGATTTGTGATATGCGTGACGGCGCGTATTAATTCTGGCCAAAGGAATTCAGGTATAGCCTGAACCACCATGACGGTTCGCAGCTTATCAAGTATCACGCGGTTGGATCTTTCACTGCCCCCATTTTGATACGACGAGTACGGCGTTGTTACTTCAAGGTGAGTACCCAACTCTGTCATTAGATTACTCAATTTAGAGCCTCCGAACTCCAATCCTCCGTCTAGAATAAACTTCTTAATTGTACGATCATATTGAGTTCTTGTTTCAACGGCGAAGTTCTTGACATTTTCGAAGGCTCCTCTCTTCTCTGGATGAGTTATAACCCATCTCATGTTGGTGGCTAAATCAGTAAAAATGGTGGCATACTTTTGATTCATAATTCCTTCAGGAATCACTTTTATCACGTCAATACCCACTGCATCAAAGATTTTCTTAGGCTTGGCTCTATTGCGATTTATGCTAAACCTGGTGGTGTAGTTGATCACAGTTTGAGAGTATGCTCTGAGTTGCAATGGTGGCTTGTTATGGATGCGATTGCGACAATACAGTTGAGGGTGGTATGAAAGTTGGCACTTCAATGGGTCTCAATTGTGTGGGGATTAATTTAATCACTGATGATAATTATGTTATTGTTCTATCTACAAAGAATGTGTTACAGTTCTATGTGTGCCAGTAATCGCTTAGATCTGGCTAGTGGGTTGACCACTCTTTTACTTCACTCCCATGTTCTATCACGTGAGGTAGTATAACTGCTCACCACGAAGTCCGCAGATTTGAACAGCGTTAGATCACAACACTTCCCCTCGCTTTGCACATCTGATATGATCTGAAAGTCGGTGATGTATAGATTTAACGAGAGACTTGGTGAGTAGATCGGCAAGGTTATTAGCTGATTTCACGTGGAGAAGTTCAAATTCTCCTTCGTTAAACTTCTCACGAACGTATTGATAATGTACGTCGATATGTTTTGAACGACCGTGAATCCGCGGGTTTCTTGCAAGTTCTTGGGCTCCATTGTTATCAGTGTAGAGCATTGTGTCATACTCTTGGCGCAGTTGTTTTAAACCCAAATTTTGTCCAGGTGGTCTGGCGTGCAGCTAGTGACATGGCCATATATTCGGCTTCTGTAGTTGATAATGCCACAGATCGCTGTTGTTTGCTGCTCCATGATATTGCAGCATTGCCTAGGCGAATTACATATCCTGATGTGGATCTTCGAGTATGAGGATCGTCAGCATAGGATGCGTCGGCATACACCTCGAGTACCCTGCTGGTTCCATGCGGGTAAAACAATTCCCAATCGGTTGTTCCAGCTAGATATCGAAGAGTTTGTTTGGCGGCTCGCAAATGACTTTCGTTTGGGCAAGATGAAAACTGGCTTAAGAGTGTGACAGTGTAGGCTAGATCAGGGCGACTCCCTATGACAAGATACATAAGGGATCCAACTATGGCTTGATATTCTTTTATATTTCCGAGACGTTCCTCTTCAGTGCCTTTGAAAAGGGTGACGTTTGGATCGAGAGGAGTACTTACTTTGTGAGCAAGTGTAAGGCCAAAGCGTTCTAGAATCTTCTTTGAGTAACCTTGTTGAGAGAGTCGGATACCTGTTTTTTCTAGTTTAATCTGTAGTCCAAGGATATAATGAGCATTTCCTAAGTCCTTGCAATCAAAATCTTTTCCGATACATGACTTGAGGTTTTGGCTAAATTTATTATCTGAACAAAAGATTAGTATGTCGTCAACGTATATCGCTACAAAGGCGTTTTCTGTTGGATGAACGAAGACGCATGGGTCGAAATCTGCTATTTCGAATCCTTTTTGTTGAAGTGATGTCGATATGCAGGCGTACCATTCACGGCCTGATTGTTTTAGACCGTAGATACATTTACGGAGTGCAGCACATTTTCCAGATTTTCGGTATCCCGGTGGAAGTTCCATGAATATTTCTTCCTTTAAAGAACCGTATAAGTAGGCCGAGTTTACGTCCATTTGTTGTGGTATCCATTTATTTTGGGCAGCGATGCGAA